TTTAATTGCAGCACTTGTCGTATCTTAATATCCTCGTTTGTTTTCTCTGTTTCTGAATCACTGCTTACTGTTGATTTTGGAAAAAACAATATTTGATTTTCATATGTGTGAAACCTACAAGAATCCATTTGGCATCCATCACACAACATGTATGCACAGCAAGTAACTGGTCGTGTTTACTATGCGGACCCACCCATTATTATGCTTTCATGATATCGTATGTTCACTGGAAAAGGGGAACATATTTTCTCCGCTCACGTAATTCATATTTGCCTTACACGAAGTGTGGAACAGTGAGATAAGTAAAGAAGGTCAGAGGCCTCTCTCTGTATCACACTGTGTGAAAGAGCAGAATCATTTTTGCCAACTCTGCCCTAATGATTCATCACATCTTCAATCTCAGTCTGACATACCTCACCAGGATTAATACAGATTAAGGAACAGCGCACACATAAAAATGCAGTTTTCATTTTATTAAGTATTAGTTTGCTGAGATAGTGGATTTTAAGTAGTCTTATAAAATGTAAAACTGTATTTTTATGTGTGTGCTCTTCCTTAATCTTTATTATGTTGTACATTTTGGAGGATCTGTTTGAAAGGCGATGTTGGATATGTGAAAGCTTTGTATTCAGGGACTGGGAACAGAAAGCAGCCGTGAAAAAAAAGATCAGCCTCATAATTCTTTGTGTGCAGTAAATATATATTACATGCTTTGTAATATGTATATTACAAAGCATGTTCCACATTAATAAATCACACAGGTTCACTAACACACATAGACAAGCTCAATGGTGTGCACACATGCATACAAGCTGACTACTACACAAGCTCTCTGACACACAGAAGCTCTTTAACCCACACAAGCTCACTAACACACACAAGCTCACTACAGAAAAGCTGACTGAAACACACAAGCTCATTACAATCTCACTGACACGAACACACACAAGCTCACTGAAACACACAAGCTTACGTAAACACACAAGCTCACTGAGACAAGCACACACAAGCTCTCTGACCCATAGACAAGCTTACTACAGACAAGATTACTGACACACACAAGCTCACTACAAGCTCACTTACACACACGCAAACAAGCACACTACAGACAAGCTCACTGACACACACAAGCTCACTACAGACAAGCTCCCTGATTCACACCGAAGCTCTCTGATCCACACAAGCTCACTACAGGCAAGCTTACTGACATACACACAGGCTCCCTGACCCATACACAAACTCACAACAGACAAGCTTACTACAAGCTCAATGACAGACACACACAAACACACTATGGATAAGCTCACCAACAAACACACACAAGCTCCCTCACCCATACACAAGCTCACAACAGGCAATCTTACTGACACACACAAGCTCACTTATGGCAAGCTCTCTACAAACTAACTGAAACAAACACATGCAAGCTCACTACAGACACGCTCACTGACACACACAAGCTCACTGACACAAACACACACAAGCTCACTACAGACAGTATCACTGACACAAACAAACTCACTACAGACAGGCTCAAAGGCACACACACACACTCTCTGACTAAGCTCACTACAGACAAACTTACTGACACACACAATCTCAATACAAGCTAACTTACACACACTCACCCAAGCACACTAAAGACAAGCTTACTGACACACTCAAGCTCACTACAAAAAAATGCACTGGCACACATGCTCAGTGACACAAGCACACACAAGCTCTCTTCCCACACAAGCTCATTACAGAGAAGCTCACTGACAGACACAAGCTACAGAGAGGCTCATTGACACAAACAAGCTATTTACAGACAAGCTCACAGACACACACAAGCTCTCTGACCCATACACAAGCTTACTACAGATAAGCTTACTGACACGCACAAGCTCACTACAAGCTCACTTGCACACACTCACCCAAGCACACTACAGACAAGCTCACTGATACACACAAGCTCAATGACACACAAGTTCATTACAGAAAATCTCACTGATACACACAAGCACACTACAGACAAGTTCACTGACACAAATACACACAGTAGCTCTCTGACCAAAACAAGCTCAAAACAATCAAGTTCAATGACACACTAGCCTGGCTGTGCCTATGCTAGAAGACTATTCTGCACTTGTAACAAATGCAAAGAATATCCGAATGTTGTTGTGTGAAGTGCACCAGGTGCTGAAGAACCCCACTATGTTACGATTAATTGATTAATCAATAATCCCTTCTTTCTTCTGTACCCCAATATTTATTTGTGACTAAAAACAATAAAAACAATGATTTTAAAAAAAAGTTAAATGACACAACTAAAGGCAAGCTCAGTGACACACTTACAAGCTCACTATAGACAAGCTCACCAACACACACAAACTCACTGACACACACACAAGCTCTCTGACCCATACACAAGCTCACAACAAACTAGCTCACTACAAGTTCAGTGACAGATACACACAAGCACACTACAGACACAACAATACACAAACACAAGCTCACTAATGACAAGCTTACTGAGACACACAAGCTTTGTATAAGCTCACTGACACACACAACCTCACTGATAAATACACACACACACACACACACACACACAAAACCACTATCAGTCATTGGCTGCTGGGTAACATGCAATTACCTGTTACTGGCAATGGGGAACCTGAGGGTAGTCTTCATGAGTTTTCCTTTTCAGGTGTGAAAGGTCAGCTGGGTGAGACTCGGGGGTGGAGTAAGATTGTGCTGGTGGGCTCCTAGCAGACTGGCCATGCTGTGCTGGAAACCACAAATGAGCTTTTGTGGGAGAGCCTCTCAGGCCTCTCTTCCCCTGCTGCTAGCTGGCTGCCACCACTGCCTGTGTACCAGCCCCTGACAGACTCACTATGGCCACCTACCTGCCAGTCTGTCCCAGCCTCCAAAGAAAAACCAGAGGTAGGAAAAAATAAATATGAATAATCTTCTGCTGTGCAAATGCAGCGGCTCACCAGGAAATTTCCTGGTATACCGGTGGGCCAGTCCGACCCTGTTTGTATTGATGCTATTAATTGGTGACGATATTGAGATCTCTTAGATCTCTACTCCATATTCCTACCTGGTCATGCCTACTCCATTCCCTCTCTGGAGTATTAACCCCAGTAAGACATACAGATATGTAAAAGGACACCATAATCACCAGAACATCTACAGCTTAATGTAATTGTTCTGGTGTCTACTGCCTGTCACTTAAGTCGTTTTAATGCAAACACTGCCTTTTAAGCAGCACTGATGTTCAGCATCTCCACACTATGCACTGCAGACTATGCACTGCATTTTGCCGCTCATGTGCAATATCCTCCCAATGCTTTCCTATGGGAAAGAATTCGATTGGCTGAGATAATCAAGTTTGATTATCTCAGTCAAGGATGCAGAATGGGGGCAGAGTGGACACACGTGATTCTGAAAAAACATTAGTAAAATTGCCTTTTAATGAGAGCAGGGGGTGTCGGGGACCTAAATAGTAAACTTAGAGCTAGACATTTAAATCACTAGTCAGTAAGACTCGATTTTAAATCATGATTTTTTAGCATAAAGACTTATTCTTGCTGGTTGTCATAATCTTTAACATTTACAACCAGATGAATATTTTATATTTAAAAAAATAAATTTTTAAGATTAGTTTAACAGGTACATACAAACTCATTTTATTATACAGCATTAGAAATATATAGATACAAATGAAATTATGGCAAGATGGAATATCCCCAGTTGCATTGGTTCATCGCTCATGTTTGGAGCATTCATTATGTGTGTATAGATTTGCAGAATAACAATGGGATTAATGTTTTTCTTCTGAATTTTGTACACAAAATTTAACACAAGTTCCATTACTTGGATTAATAAAATTAATTTACCAAAAATGTAAGTAATGCATGAATGTACAGCCTCATGCTTCATAACTAATCACTATTTCATGCTGAATAACCTTTGGATTATAATGTATCTCAAATAGAAAACAATCTCTAGATACATTTTTCCTCCAATATCATTTTATTAGAAGAAATCAGATTTAAATTAAAAAAAATATTTAATTTAAATAAGCAAAAAAATAAAAAATATGATTTAAATAATAAAATCCATTATTTATACAGTAAATATACTATAAATGGCTATGCATATAATTTTCAGCAGGTCATATCAGCAAAAGAGTGTTCTACTAAGTACTAAAGATGCTTGCCATGAAAATGTTAAATAATTTTGAAACTATAAGTCATTATAAAATTGCATTTTAAGTTGAATTTGGCAGGAAGATGAACCTCGCCACAACATTCACTATAGACTTTAACCCCTTAAGGACTGGACTGTTTTTGCGATGTTGTACATTTGCGACCAGGAATATTTTTACACTTTTCTGGTGTTTGTGTTTGGCTGTAATTTTCCGCTCTCTCATTTACTGTTCCCATACAAATTATATATTGTTTTTTTCAGGACAAAAGGGGCTTTCTTTACATACCATTATTTATATAATCTCATGTATTTTAATTTAAAAAAAATAAAAAAATATGATGAAAAATTTAAAAAAATACATGTTTTTTGACTTTTACTTGAAAAATCTTTTACTCATCTACAAAAGCGAATGAAAAAAACTGCTAAATAGATTCAAAATTTTGTCCTGAGTTTAAAAATACCCAGTGTTTACGTGCTTTTTTGCTTTTTTTGCATGTTATAGGGCTATAGGTACAAGTAGGATATTGCGGTTTCAAAACATACATTTTTAAAATTTATCAATAGTGACATTGTAACACTATTATCTGTCATAAATCTCTGAATAACACCCCACATGTACATATTTTTAAAGTAGACAACCCAGGGTATTCAATATGGGGTATGTCCAGTCTTTTTTAGTAGCCACTTAGTCGAAAACACTGGCCAATGTAAGCATTCATATTTGTTTGTGTGTGAAAAAAGTAAAAAAACTAAATTGAACGCTAATTTTGGCCAGTGTTTGTGACCAAGTGGCTACTAAAAAAGACTGGACATACCCCATTTGCAATACCTTGGGTTGTCTTCTTTTGCAAATGGTATGCCATCATGGGGGTAATTCTCATTCCTGGGCTACCATACGCTCTCAAAGGCAACGTAACCAACCTGGCCATTTTCAATGTAAAAATATTTGACCCATGTATTTGACCTTGTAACTTTAAAAAATGCTATAAAACCTGTACATGGGGGGTACTGTTTTACTCGGGAGACATCGCTGAACACATATATTAGTGTTTAAAAACTGGAAAACGTATCACAACAATTATATCATCAGTAAAAGTGCTGTTTGTGTGTGAAAAATGCAAAAAAAGTAACTTTCACTGACAATATCATCGCTGTGATATGTTTTACTGTTTTGAATCACTAATATTTGTGTTCAGCGAAGTCTCCCGAGTAAAACAGTACCCCCCATGTACAGGTTTTAGGGTGTCGTAGAACGTTACAGGGTAAAATACAGTGCTAGCAAATTAAATTCTCTGGAATTTCGGCCTGGGTTGGCAGGCAGGTCCCTCAAATTGCAATCAATAAAATTACTGAATTATGTAAAAATATTACATAAATACGCACGTAGAATTTAAATATATATGCATATTTATATATTTGAAGTCTACGTGTATATTTATATAATTATTTATGTAATTTTGTATATGGACATATGTATATTTCTTATTATTTTTATTTATTTTTATATATATAGATATATATACAAATTCATTCTAAGTGTATTTTGATATAAATATATATATATTAATTTTAAAATACAGTTAGAATAAAATTTCATATAGCTATATAATTTTTTTAAAATTTTTTATTATTATTTTTAAAAAAATTTATTTAATTTAAATTACTTATTATTTATATTTTATAATAATATATATATACAATCTATATAGTTATTATATATATTATATATATACGTGTGTAATTTAATTATAAGTGTATTTTTATATTAATATAAGTACATATTAATATAAAAATACACTTAGTATGGCATTATATATATGATATATAGACATATATTATATAGATATAATATATGTCTATATATCATATATACACATATATAATTATTATTATTTTTTTTTTTTATTAACATTAACTTTATTTTTTTTTTTGATTTTACACTAGCAGGGAGACTGCCTGTCAGCACAGACAGTCCCCCTGCAGGCAGACACATGGACACCTATTGTGACCATGTGATCGCTGTGTTGAGCGATCACATGGCCCCAGGGGTCCTAATCAGTGTGGGGAGACTGTCTGGGCTGCAGGCAGTCTCCCCACACCGGGAGCAACGCTGATCGCCGCCGGGGGAACGACGGCGATCAGGTAAGTAACGGAAACCGTTAGGACGGTTCAGGACCGTCATCGGTCCGCAATGGGAAAATCCCGATGACGGTCCTGAACCGTCCTCGGTCGGGAAGGGGTTAACGGGGCAAGTTGGGAACATGTAAGACCAATGAGAAGCACTGAGAAACGGATTGCAGTTGTCAAGGTGAGAGGGAATAGCAACATGGACCAGCCACACAGGGGTGTCACTAGAGGGGGCGATGACCTTTACTACATCATGCACCTTGTGCCCTCCCAAGTCCAGCACACTGAGTCTCCCTTCACAAGCCGCAGCAGCATTGTCACTGTGGAACTGTGTTCCACCTTTTTCCCACTAGCAGCCAGAGGGGGCACTGTGCTGGAAGGACTTCCTCCTGGGTCATAGAGAGCAGCGCAGGGGAGAGACGGAGAGGAAACTCAGCTCTGCACAGAGGCATCCAGGCAGCTGCTGGTAAATGTGAGTCAGTGTGTGGTTCAGTCTCTGTGTGTGTGTGGGGTGAGGGGGTCAGTCTGTGTGTGTGTGTGTGTATGGGTCGGCCTGTGTGTGGGGTGGGTCAGTCTGTGTGTGTGGGGGGGCTCAGTCTGTGTATCTATATAGGCCAGTCTATGTGTGTGGGGGTCAGTCTGTGTGTGTGGGGGTCAGTTTGTGTGTGGGGGTCAGTCTGTGTGTATGGATCAGTCTGTGTGTGGGGGGTCAGTCTGTGGGGGGGTCAGTCTGTGTGCGGGGCAGTCTGTGTGTGGGGGGTCAGTCTCTGTGGGGGGTCAGTCTGTGTGTGTATGGGTCAGTCTGTGTGTGGGGGGTAGTCTGTGTGTGTGGGGGGTAGTCTGTGTGTGTGGGAGGGTCAGTCTGTGTGTGTAGGGGGGTCAGTCTGTGTGTGTGTGTATGGGTCAGTCTTTGTGGGGGCAGTCTGTGTGTGTATGGGTCAGTCTGTGTATGGGGGAAGCAGTCTGTGTATGTGTATGGGGGAAACAGTCTGTTGGTTAGTATGTAAGTGCTTGAGCTCCAGGAGAGATACCTCTCATCTCGTCACCTCCCCTGTACCCGATGGATAGACAACCTTCTCAACCACCACGGATCTGATTGTGCCACCCCCTCCCTGCAAGGTAAGATCAGGGAAAGGGGAATATTCTTCTTTTTTTTTTTTTTTAAAGACAATTATTAAAGTAACCATGGTAAAGCTCTTCTTTATCCCACTCTCTATACCCCCTGAACACAGTACACCCTAACAGACAGTGAACCCCCACATACAGTACACCCCCACTAACTCAGAGTACACCTTTGCATACACACACAGTGCACCTCTCACCCACATACACACTTCTTTCCCACATACCTTTGTTGTAGAATTATTAGGCCTCTATAAATTTGTAAGGCCCCTTTAAATCCTCTTGCTATACCTCTAAGAGGCCCCCATAGTTTTACAAGGAAGCTTTGTCTATAGAACATAGAATTTGCATGTCAGCAAGAAATAGCTTTGATAAAATGTGTATTTACTAAAATCCTTGAAACTTAACCTTGAGAAACTAACAAGTGCCAGCTACGCTCCAAATGGATAGCTGCCAAAAGGCCCCTCCCGTCGAGTGAGCTCCTCATTTTAACAAGATGGCGCTAAAACCTGTAGGAGTTAAGAAATTACGTAGATAGTGACCTAAGAATGGGGAGGGCATTTTACTAACATCTTAGCACCTAAGCCAATTAACAATGTCTATTTGTCTATATCTTGATTTTCTTCAATGATGTAATAATGCCTTTATAAGGGTCTGCGCACCCATTTTCTGTCAGAAGCCATTAAACTTCTCTGAAGTTCTTTCATTACCCTGAACCTTGTGTCTCAGTGTGAATTTACTTCTGCGTGCACGCAACTTTATTATCTTTAATTTGGACAGGAACAGATAGTCATTCAAACTAATTGGTTTGCAGTAAATCATCTAGAACAATTGGCGCCCAACGTGGGGCTCTGGGCTATGTCCAGTCTGGGCAGCTGTCCAAGAAGACGCTGGGGGGGCTGAATCCTGGGGGAAGGAAAAGAGCCTGATCACCTCTGAATACACGGTAGAGATTGCTGCAGCACCTAGCCGGTATGTTCCTACCCCTGTGATTGACCTGCCCCAGTGTCTGTGACTGCTGCCGAGAGGACATCAAAGTCAGGTAATAACTTGCCCAGAGTCTTTGTATTGTTAATGATACCTAGTTTACCTGCATGTTGACTATCTGTTGCCTGGGTGTGTTTGTATTGGTATGTGTTTAACTTAGTACCCGGGGAGTGTAAGTGCCTGTTTAACCCCTTTTAGGTACCACATACCTGTGGTAGTAAGGAAAAAGGGGGGTGGACCTGTGGAAGTTTTCCTGGGGGTCCTCTATTGCCTGTTTAACTCTTTTAGGAGCCACGTGGCTGTGGCTGTAAGGAAAAAGAGTAGGGGGGATCTGTGGAGGGCAGTAGACTCACTGCTTCCTGGGGATCCCCAGAGTGTCATTTTGACCGCTTAGCTAGCCTCATCAGACACTTCTTCTTGGTAAAATTCCAGTCTCAAGCGCTGAGACAGGTAAGATTCCAATTCTTTAGGCTATACAGGATTCGGGTTGGAAGCTGTTGCTGTTTCCTGTGGCTGCTGGTAGTGAGACTTGCGGGTGGGTCCGCAACAGGGACACTACGAGGTTGAGGGAGGTGGCTTTTGGCCACACGAGTAAAGGCAAGGGATAACACTGTTGAACTTATTTGAACTGTGATGCATGCACTGTATTTACACTGAAATGTTATTGTCTTAATTGTCTGTCACACAGATTCCTGTGTTTACTTCTATCTTACTCACTGTACTATTTACACTTTCCCCTCCTATTTCTCTTTCTCTTTGTTGAGAGAAGTGATTGGTCACACACTTCTCGCCACGCTCCAATCCGCGGCTACCACGGGTAGGCGGAATCAGTGACTAGTCTACGCTTTGGGAAGACGTACTTAAAGAGCTTGCTCTTAAAGTAGCAGTCGAGCACGGTAGACGTTCTGTTCCTTTCTCTCTCTATATCTGGGACGCCTTGTATAGGGAGGATGGGACAGAAGTTAGATAAACCCAGTAAGGGTTGGTTAGCATGTGATCTAGTGGAAGACAGAGAAGGAGAAGAGATGGTTAAGAAAGTGAGTAAGATTGCTAAAGTATGTGGAATTACCGTACCTCTGTGCGGCAGATTGTAGCCAGAGAGCTGGCGTAAGTTACTGACAGAAGAAAGGGAAGCTGTCGGACCAAGATTTGGTTTGTACAGCAGAAGCCTGGTACCGAGTAGCAAGAGCTATTCAGCAAAAGGGATAGGTTGAGGAAGATATTGATCACAAAGGTTTAAGATTGTATGTATATCATAATAATTGTGTTACTGGGAAGTTATCCCAGCAGTGCCCTGTCCAGGAGGTGACCACTTCCATCATCCTGTCAGTAATGACCGAAATGTAGCTGACCATGGTCACCATCCCACCCCAATCTTAAAACGCTGTGGGGTTTTTGTATTTTGTGTTAGCCATTACCCTGGTAGAGGGTGGGGGTATAAATGAAATGTTGTGTTTTTGTGTCTCTTTGCTTTGTAATGTAATTGTCCTTCTGTCTTGTTACTGTACAGCGTTGACATGGTTAAATTCGTGCTGGCAGGCAGTCTCTCTCTTGTTCCACTCAAATCCCCCTCTGCTAAAACACCCCCCCCCTCCCCTCGCTTCTGTGAGACGCGGGGGGGGGGAGGGGGCGGAGGGGGGTGGTGACATGCTTGCGATTTAGGTCTGTCTCTTCGGTGTTCTGTAGAGTTATTCAGAAGCTACTGATAAGAGTATAAGGTACTGAGGATTGTGGGAGTGACAAGCTCACAAGATTGCATTCAGTGTTGAATACGGGATTTAGGAAGGTGTAGAGGGAATATGCGATGTTGTTAAGTC